AGCTAGGTGGGCGTGGTTTCAGCAACCAGCTCCCGCCTCTTTGCCCATTTTCTATTATCCGGGAGTGACGCACGGTGACGCGCTGCCAAGATGGCGACGGCTGGCTCCGCCCACTTTGAGCTTCAAAACCATTCTTCAGAAACCTACGGGTGATGTCACGGACACTACGTCCATGTTTTTATACAGTCATGGTTAGACCTATCGGACTGCGCCATCTAGAGTTTCATGCCAGAACTCTGTATTTCTGCTAGACCCGGAAAGCTATAGTTTAGATATAACTGAAAGTAAATTCAATACTTCAAGAAGGACAATGCCAGCTACTATCATTTCATGTTGCTTGCAAAATGATTATCTTCTGAAGGGCTTTTGAATGTGTTTGAATGTGCTTTTGAATTTGAGTTTGCTGATATGTCTTTGAGGAGTGAAGGTTTAGACAGAAGGTGTGTGATTAAAGTTAACACAAATAAGCTGAAATTGCTTGCAGCACCTGCCATAGTTTGAAAGCAATTGACATGACATATGTAATATAAATCTAACTGTTTCTCACTCTTGGTCACATGGGTTTTGCTCCAGTGGGATCATGGCTGTTTGTGTGGGCTCAAGTCACTGTTAATCACTGATAAATGCATCTGACCCTAATCTCTCCTGGCTTGAACACCTGCGGAAACAGAGCAGGCCAGCTGTACTTGTCTGCCCACACTGCTCCACTTTACACCTGAGCAGAGAAAGATGGACGTTGTTTTGCAGTGGTCTCACTGGTGGGCTCTGTTAACTCAATTTGCTCACTCTAAACTCTCCATTCCAGGTCAGACACTGCGCTGTACATCATCAGTCATGCAATCTGCTTTGAATGCATTCAAACCAAGACTATACACTCCCACAACTGCAGATTTTAAATCGTGATTCACTTAAAACCCCTCCAACCCTGTTTAGTCCAGTGATCAGATTCTGTTTTAGCAGCAGACCATGTGCAGTACAACCAATAGAAACATAACTTCACAAATAACACCGAGCCAAACTGAGAAGAACAGTTGCACGATTATGAGTGAAATGCAGGATGCAGAAGGGTCTCGGAGCAGATGGGTGAAAACACTGAGCCATAGAGGAGATTCATGGACTGGTGATTTACTGCTAGTCAAACCAGCTGACAGGAGATTCATACGGTTTGACATTTGAGGATGGGTGAGGAAATGAGCTGTGACCCACTTCAACTCGTATGAAGCAAGTATTCTCGAAAAACTGAGTTAAAGTTCTGTGTATTTATATGCATGGAAATTCAGCTGACACCAATTCTGATAAATATTATGATATTTAAATATTAAATCTGATATGCAGAATTGTATTTTATCATATTTTCAATTAATAGAAAATGCTTTACAATAAGGTTCCATTTGTTAACATAAACTAACAATTAAAATACTTCTTTTCGAAAAATTGTTTGTTAATATTATTGAATGTGTCTGAGCCAACATGAACTTACAATGAACTAACATTAACAATAGTTAAAATATACTGTAAAAAATACAGAAAATACTGTATTGTTAGTTAACATTAGTTGGTGCATGAACTAATGTTAACCAATGGGACTTTTTGGAAAGCATTACCAAAATAATTGGCCTTTCTTTACCTTAACGTTTTCAAAATCTGGCCTGGTTCTTATGACCCACACAAACACACTAAAAAAAGATTAGTGTAGAACCAATTTTCAGTTATAAATTGTTAGCAAATTTCACAATTAATTACAAAGAAATGGCAAGTAATACATTGAATTCAACATGAAATTTGAAGTAAAAATATTGAAATAATATGTTCTTGTAAAACAATCTAATAATATTTTATTAATAAAATGTAAAATTGTAGAGAAAAATCAACAATTAAACACTATACAAAACCTCATACTAAAAAAACCTTAATTACATAATAAAAATGTGTGCCTATTAAATGGTCTTGCTTGTTAAATATTGGCAGACGCAGTTTTTACCTGTAGTGTTCAGCAGAAGACGGTCATCCCAGAGAGAGGCTGAGACTGAAGGACAGCCAGGTGGGAAGTCGAGGGATTATCCATGAGAAAGCACAGTTAACGGGATTAGGCTTTCTCTGGGACGGATGCAGAGGGAGGACCTGGACTTGGACTTCATTAGCTTCACACAATCCTTCTTGGAGCTCAGCCCGTATAGGACCAGAGGGGTCCAGAACAGAGACTGGGACAGAGAAACCCCTCAATGTAGTGCAAATATAAATTGTACAGTATAGATTGTCCTGGGCTGGTTTGGTTGCCTCATTGAAGATTTACCTCAATGCATTATTTTTATTAACATTTTCTAAATCACTTGCATTACTTGAAGTAAATCACTTGCATATATGATTTTGCACCAGGCTAAACAGAATAATATCAGTCTTTAGCCAATATTAACTTGTTATATTTTACTTGCCAGTGATAAATTAATAGTAGAAGTATTTTATTAGTATTGTTAAAAATATTAAATAACCAATAATGTCTCATGCACCATAATTCAGATTTTAGTTTCTAATTAGTATAAATCGTCATGCCTTTAAATTGACACATGTATGTATCTTCTTTATATTATAATATAATATAATATAATATAATATAATATAATATAATATAATTAATATACTGCTAGTAAATATCAGGAATAAATAATTACAAAGAAATGGCAGTAACATACTCCAATAAACTTTGTTTTAAAAAAAAATAGATTTTTACAGTGTTCCATTTCTTTGTGAAGTACCATTTCTTTCTGAGGTTAAGCATGATTAAAAAGCTAGTTTATCTGTAATTATGCTCACGTTTACTTGCATATTTTAAACGTACATTTTCAATTTGTCATGGCTCAGCTTACCCCTAACATGAGGTAAATTGCGTTACTACTTTTGATTTAATTTTTTTTATAGTCTTCCTTTTAATTGTAGTTAGATTTTAGTAATTTTGTTGCATGTTTTTGTCATTTTTATTAATTTTAGTTATTTACTTCAGCTTAAGCTAAATCAAAATGAGAAATGTTGCCTTGGCAACTAGCTGAAATATAATACTTTTTTTTTTTTCATTTCAGTTAATGCTTATTTTAAGTAATATAAATATTTGTTGTTTATTAGTTTACTTAATGATAATAACCCTGCCTGTATTTCTTTTCTTCTTGCCTAAAGGACAACCTGTGAAAACTGTCTCATTTCACCTCAATCTCCCCGATGAGATTCATTTCATTGGTGCAGTTATGGTTTAATGTGTTTGAAAGGTTAAAGCTGCAGGTGAGCTTGTGAGCACGATTCAGTGAGATATTATTGCTCCGGGAAGACATCCTATGGTCATAAGACAAAAATACTAATGTCCTAATTTATCCGGTCTTTGGGGGCCCTCAAACCATTAGAAACGAGCTCTGATATCATGAACGATTCCAGTGTGTTTGCCGCTGCCCTTCAGGTGTGGTGACTGTGTCAGTCTGTTGCCATCGCCTCCCAGTTTGCCATCTGGCACATATTCATCAGTGAGATAAGATGCCGCCTCTCGGCTCATGTTTAAAAATTCTCAAAGCCTGAGATGAGTCACTTTCACCTCTGCTCATAGCCCCCTCGAGTCTGCTTCATTCCTCCTTCCCATATGTCAGCCCCCCTGCCACTTATTACAGCCGCCACATCACATCTCTGAGCGCAACGACGCTGATTATCCGTCCATCATTTCAGACAACCAAAAACTAAACAAGAATTTTGGAAAAACAACTTTCATTAATGATTCACTGGAAAAGACAATTAAAGGAACATTTCACCCCAAAATGAAAATTTGCTGCATTTTCTCACCCTCAGACCATCCAAGATGAGTTTGTTTCTTCATCAGAACAGATTTGGAGAAATGTAGCTTTCCATCACTTGCTCACCAATGGATCGTCTGCGGTGAATGGGTGCCGTCAGAATGAGAGTCCAAACAGCTGATTAAAACATCACAATAATCCACAAGTAACCCACACCACTCCAGTCCATCAGTTAATTACAAATCTTTTACATGTAATTTTTTAACCATTCTTTATATGTATTTTAGATGCTTTAACCCTACCTCTAAAATGACATAAAGGGCAAAAAATCTGTGAGCCACTAATCACCCCAAAAACACACACACACACACACACACACACACACACACACACACACACACAATTTAAAAAGAAAGTGCCAAGACTAAATTGACATTTGTTTTTGCAAAATTCAGATATTTGTTTTCCTCATGCGAGACTCTTAGAAGAGTTTCTTCCACTCCTCTGCAAATGAACACATGCACAATCTCCTTAAGTGATCAGAGGCTGTAATCCTAACAGATTCAAGCCTGTGAGAAGGGGAAAAGATACTGTTTGCTACATACTTGAAATGGGTCCCTTAAAACAGGAAGACAGTGCAGCTGAGTTTATCAGCCAGTGAGCAGGAGAAATGAGGAGAGTGTCAGGAAATCATGAAGCAGCAGGAGAGCCACTGTCAGAAGAGTTCATTCAGGACTAAAAAAGTATAAACTATCAATTAGATGACAGAAGGCATGTAGTACACCGAGTACAACATATTTTATACATGTTTTGTACAACATGTTGATAATTCTGAAATTTGTGTATCAAATGATACAGTGGGTTTTATAGGACAAAGTAACATTTAAAATTTATATGCGTAATGGCATTAGATAACAACATAAGGTTACACTTTATTTTAAGGTGTCATTGTTACAGCGTAATTATACATTGAGTAATATTAATTAACTACAGTACATGTACTTACTATATGGTTAGGATTAGGGTTTGTCTTAGGGTTACTCGCATGTAATTATGCATAATTTATTGTTATTATAATAGTAAGTACATGTAACATGTCTAACAAGGACACCTTAAAATAAAGTGTTACCCAACATAACATACTGAAGGGTAAACAAGTTGAAACATATGAAAAATTTGGTAGGAACACATATTCACTATTAACTAATTGCTTATTAGCCTGCATATGACTAGAATATTGGCTACTTATAAAGCACATATTAATGCCTTTTGCATGACCATATTCTAGATCCCTTAACTTGACCGGATACATAAACTTAACTACTACAACAACTTGACTTACTTACTTGGTCCTGGAATTAAAAGAAACAAACAAATCAGTAAAAGAATAAACAAACCAGGCCTCCCAATAACTCCCAGTCCTGAAAATTGAGGGGCTCTGATCATGTAATCCTGCTCTAATAGACATTCCTCCAGGAAATCAGGAATGAACTCGCTTTGAAGCACACAATTAATGAAACAGAAGCTCCACACTTTTTAATAAGCTGGACCACAGCTATGGGAGACGCTGAGCAACAGCCAGCAGTAACAGACAAACATTTAGATGCCCCAGACTGAAGGCTGTTATTTTGATCTTGATGATAACACATAGCTAGCTGTTAAATGTAGCAACAGTTATTAGAGATGTCATTCAAACCTGTAATTCTAAACAGTGCTGCGTTTCCATCCACCTATTTTTATGCACCTTTTGTAATATCGCATAAAAAACCACTGGATGGAAATGCCAAGATGCGCATAAATTCTAAAAATGCGCATAAAAACGTATGCGCACATTTGAGTAGGATAAACTTTTTAAATGCGCATAAACTACGATGGAAACACATTTACCGACTGGACAACTGTCAGATCAGCAGTCTTCCCCATGATTGTGTAGCCTAGTGAACCAAACTGAGAGACCATTTTGAAGGCTCAGAAAACCTTTGCAGGTGTTTTGAGTTGATTAGCTGATTGGCATGTCACCATATTCTAATTTGTTGAGATAGTGAATTGGTGGGTTTTTGTTAAATGTGAGCCAAAATCATCACAATTAAAAGAACCAAAGACTTAAACTACTTCAGTCTGTGTGCATTGAATTTATTTAATACACAAATTTCACAATTTGAGTTGAATTACTGAAATAAATGAACTTTTCCACGACATTCTAATTTATTGAGATGCACCTGTATATGAAAATTATTATATTCAGTGGCTTCTCCTGGTTTTCTTAGTGATATTTAGAGCCAGTTTACCAGGAAGTGACGATGTTGTTCTCTTTGACTCGTTGGATGGAAACGGTGCTTTATTCGCATATGTTTTATGCGATACTCCAGTTTTGCGCATAAATTTAATTCGAATCTTTGGATGGAAACATAGCTAGTGTGGCTGAATTTCAGCCATTTTAGCCATTAAAAAAAAGAAAAGAAGGAAAGACAATTGAGAGAGCTTTGTGCAAAAATATTTATAATGCTCACCAGTGGATCCTGAATGGGTGCCGTCAGAATGAGAGTCCAAACAGCTGCAGTAATCCACAGGTCCATCACAGTAATGTGATGTAATCCACAAAAAAGTAACCCACAAAACATCACAGTAATCCACAAGCAATCCACGTGACTCTAATCCACCAAATAATGTCCTGTGAAGTGAAAAGCTGCATGTTTGTAAGAAACAAGTTATCATTATCATCAAGAAGTAACTTTAAACCATCACTTCTGGCCAAAATAAGAGTCAATAATCCATAATAATGCTTCCTCCAGTGAAAAAGTCCATATCCTGTTGTCTTCTCACATCAAAATCCACCCACACATTTGCTTAGAACTGTTTTGTACAGTAAATGGTACTTGATCTGTGCGTATTTCTCTCCTAATTCAGATGACTTTTTGACTGGAGAAAGCAATATTATAGAGGACTCGTGTTTTAGCCAAAAGCAGCGATTTGAAGTTAAACATGCCTTATGGATTTGTTAATTACAAACATGCAGCTTTTGGCTTCACAAGATGTTAACTGATGGACTGGAGTGGTGTGGATTACTTGTGGATTATTGTGATGCTTTTATCAACTGTTTGGACTCTCATTCTGACGGCACCCATTCACTGCAGAGGATCCATTGGTGAAGAAGTGATGTAATACTTCATTTCTCCAAATCTATTCTGATTAAGAAATAAACTCGCGGATGGCCCGAGGGTGAGTAAATATTTTAGCACATTTTCATTTTTGGGTGAACAATTCCTTTAAATATTTTTTGAACC